CCACATTTCGTGCGTCCTTGTTACTAAAAAATCGATTGATAGAGAAATGTAAGTCTGTGAACAACGCAAGCAGCTAAACCGCACTCGCAATTTACACCAAAATGGATATGTATCTCGATAGATCTGACTGATGTGGACTCTCAAATTCCAAATGGATATTTGGATTTTTATGGGTTCTTTACAAGAAGCCTCAACACGTTCCAATTTTTTTCAAAAATGACTCCAAATTTTAAAGATGCTATTAGAAATGGCATAGGTCCCATTTTCGTTGCACTCTCTGAATATTCTAAAATTGGAAAAGTTGAAAAAATGTTCAGCGTCTTCCTAGAGTTACAACAATGAAGATTTTTTTTCCTTAATGAAATCTGTTCATAAAGAGCACATACTTTCTCGCCTTTAGTAATGGTTACGTCATACTATTCTACGGCAATTTCTAACCTAATTAAGACATGTCATAAATTTTTACAAATTCTAGAACATTAGGTGCGAAAGAGATTTTGAAATCTCATGTACATTTTTGCGAACATTTGAGTAGTTTTTGCGTCATTTTGCGTGAAATATGCAATCTCAAATTCTTTTTAAACAATTTTTTTTCTTTAAATTTTCTCCTCGTATTCATTGAGTACATACGTGTGAATTTCTGTGATTTCCGTCTCAATGTTGAGACATGATTTAGCTGTAAGAAATGCAATGTTAATTGTCGAATTTCGGTTGATATTTGATTGAAAATAATTAGCTTTCTCACCTAATGTTCCAGAATTTTTAATGCGTTTTACAAAATATGATGCCAGATGTGCTAATTACAATAGAAATTGCCGTAGACTTGTATGATGTACAAGTACGTCGCTAAAGGCGAGAAAGTATGTGCTGTATAAGAAACAGAAGTTATTTCTCGTTGTGAGTGTTCCAAGGATGGTCACGATTATGTAATAAAATAGTAGGGTGCTATTTTGACTCATAAAACGATATAGTTTGGTCCTCGCCCAATTACGACGTAGCAAAATCTATGTTGCGTTATTTGATTACGGAGAGTTCTAGGCAAGGTGCCAAATATCGTGGTAAAAATGTTTTTGCCAATAATGTTTCAACCGTAGCTGGTAAACGTTAAAAAAAAGATAGACAAATGATTCAAAATGAAAATATTCAAAATTTCAATGTTTTCAGGTATTTTGGTGAAATAACCGTTTTTCCACTAATTTTTTAACGATAGCTTATAAATGTTTTCGAAATGGTGGACAAACTTCCTCAATCAACGGACCAACGAATGTAAATTAAAATGTTTAAAATTTGTATATTTGTTGCCAACTTCGCGATTTTGTGAAATGTGTGGCGGAAAAAGCCATTTTTGTCAATGATTTTTGAAAGCTGGTAAACATTTTCTAAAGAGTGAGCAAAAGTGGTCAAACGATGGACAAACTAATACACTAAAAAAATTTGCATTTTCAATTTTTTTCGGGCCAGGTTCACGCTTTTAGGGTAGAGTGGAATACGTTTTTTTCTGCTTTATCTACTGGCGGAAACATGGGAAAAATAAAATAGTTTGTCATTAATGGAGGTCAAACGATAGAGAAACGAAAGTGCACTTAAATTTTTGAATATTTTAGGCAAAATCTTGGAATATCGTAAAAGGATGAAATTGGCCCGATTTTTTTCTCTAATTTCTGAACGCGGGCTGAGAACTATTTTCAAAAGGGTGGGCAAACGTGATCAATCGATGGACAAACAAATGCACAAAAAATTCAAAATTTTGTAATTTTTTCGAGACAAGTTCACGGGGGTGGAAAGACGTAGTATCGCGACTGCTTACTCTTGTCCTTGCGCAAAGAGAAAACAAGAACGAGAGTGCGCATCTAGCGTCGTCATTCGGCCAATTAAATCAACTTCTTGAAATGCACACACGTACAGCACACAATCTTAAATTGTTTTTCCCACAAGTTTTTCGAAAACTCAAAAAATGTCCTATGAAAAAGAGCTTCAAATTTTACATTTACACTAGAGCATAATCACCATTTTCTTAAGAACAGCTCCAAATATTTCAATGGAGATTGCCATTTAGGATGAGGCTTTAACTACTTTAATATTCTTAAACTAATATTTCGGTTCCACTCTCTGGGAAACCGAAAAATTCAAAAAATGTAATTTGGGCGGCGATAGATGGCAGCTCGCAAGAGGACGTGGCAAGTACAAATGGCCCTTACTAAAAGAAATGAGAAAAAAACTTACTAGTATGAGAACTTCAGTGTCATTCTGTAGCACTAGTTTTAATTAAATTTGGACCTTGATAGCGTGAAAGGACGATTAAAAGCATGATTCAGGTCTCATTCGTTAAAATGCCTGAAATTTTCGGTAAAAGTGAGAAGATACGTGCTGTTTTAACTCCATTTGTTCATCAGTAACAATTACTATTACCTGTGCGGTAACCTAGTATTACCTTACCACGGCCTGGTAGCCGAGCAGGTAGGTCGAGAGCGCACTAGCGCCTCGGCTTGAAGCATGAGACGGCCATGCTTGAAGGGCTGTATGTGCGAGTCTCGCCATAGGAATGGTATTTGTGCTTGTAATTTCATCTTCTCATTATCACCCTAGTCATTACTACAGATGCGAACGTGTTGAAGCGTCCTGAAACCACACAAAAGTTTACCCAAGTCCCATATTCAAATTTTACCAATGCCAAAGTCCATACGTTTGGAAATTGGTACTTTTTGTAAAATGTCATGGGTAAATACCTTAGCATTTAAAAATTGTAATTTCGGATTTTTTTCCAAATTTTCAATAGTAATATCTGTTGGGGAACCAGATAAAAATATGAAAAGTGTACATGCTAGATCGCTATGATACCAAACTTTTTAAAAAAAATTCAAAATTTTTTTACTTCTTTTTTGATTCAACATTGGTTTTTTCACTCAATTTCTGTCGTTTTGTTGCATTCAATTGTTTTCTGGAGGAGAATTCTGGCGGCTACTTTTAAAGGTGGTTTAGTGTGGAGCCTCCGATCAATGCCAGACTATTGTTGGAGTAATACTCCAAAAAATAAGCAATGTATCACGCGCGATCTTTCTTCCTCTTCCTATCATTTCCCCTTATACACATCTCAGGAGACCAGGAAATGGCTACAGGTGACTTGTAGACCGGCGCCGGATCCCATCCAGTGGTAAAACATTCATTACACTAACGTGACTAATGATCAAGGCAGTTGACGTGCCCCGAAACATCAATCGAAGTTCGCTCGTCCTCTGGGATCTTGACTTCGGGTCGCGAAGCACGTGCGAGAGCGATCGCGTCATTCCGTGCTCTTTGGTCTTGTCTGTCCTGATTCGCTCTAGTCTTTGGATATTGACTACTCCTATCTTCCCTCCCCACTTATCTAAAGGTTTGTATCGGGAGAAATGGTTGAGGGATCATAAACAGATGTCACTGCATGTCTCTGACCGGGAGGTCCTAGGTTCGAGTTCCGACGGTTTTCGACACTAGCTAGTTATAATAATAATATTTATTGAGTCACATATACAATTACAATCGTGTATGACGAGTCAATATAATGCCTTGGGTGGAGAGAGCGAAGTTATATTACTGTTCAGGAGCAAACAAGGGGCCATTGTTCAAGTTCAAATTGTCCCTGTCTGGAGGAGAAACCTAGCGGCCGGCTGCTTTGATTGGAAGTTTTCAGTGGTTTCCCCGATCAATACCAGGTGAATGCCGGAGTAGTACAACCCTAGCAATCAGGGCACGGAACGTGTGCGATCATCCCTTCTTCCTTGTCCTCTCCTCGCTTACATGCATTACGCTACCGCACATGCCTGGAGTTTGAGTTTGTACCGGCTGGGATGGTGCCCCGCTGGTGGGAGATACCTGATCGAAGGAAAAAACCCGCTAGCCGACAGTCCGACCCGTTGGCGACGGATCTCACCATCCAGCGGGGGAAAAGCACCACCGCCAGAGGAGAAAACATGCACTACATACGGGAATAACGACCTCAGCAGTAGAATTGGCAGTTGACGCGCCCGGAAACAAAAAACAAGTTTGTCATGTCTATGCTTTATCATTATGGCTCACATGTATAGCGCACCATGGAGTAAAGCACCAGGCCAGCAGTACACATGCAGATTAATCTATTTGATTTGCAATTAATGCAAGGAAATTGTGATGCTATTTTAACTCACGAGAGTGTTTATAAAAATGAACACTTTTATATACAAAACTAAATGTTTAAAATAATGAATTGTTTTGGTTCCAGCACAAATACCAAAACAATTGGCACGAGCCAAACTGATGCATGTTGGTACAGACTATTTCATCAACGAAATAAATGTGACAAGCATTCATCGATATTAAACTAATAGAGAAATTTTAATGACAGCATGACAATGTGAATGAGGGACAACTAAATAGTTGTAATAATGCAAAAGTAGCTATAATCGGTAGAGATAAAGTACCTACATTGGCTATTTATTCAGCCATTGATTTATTAATTATAAATTATTTGTTATTTTAATTATGATTTTTAAAGTCTGGTTATATTTAGAAGATATACGCACAAAATGGTCATTGAAGTTTTTGCTAGACAATGGATTCACAGCAATGAGAAATATCAATAAACTTTCAAACTTGGACCACTCCCAACTAAACACATTTTTAAGGAACCAAATATCACCCATGCGTTTCCAAATAATTAAAATAAAAAAAATAATCACAAGGAGAACATTCTCTAAAATTGTGATTAATTACATTTGAGATGTAAAATATTGGATTTACCCAACCAAAGATCTTGTGTATGTTAAATTGGTGTAGGCTATAACGTTAGTCCCTTAATACTGTAAAACAATGTTGTTCAACATTCTATATATCACTCATCTGATAAAGTAGCATAAGAAGAAAAATATCATCCAAGAGAGTTTTTAGCAACAATAAAGTGTACTGTTCAGTTCCTCCATGACAAAAAAATCTTGATGTAAATGTCAAGAACAATGTAGCAAGTACCCGTTTCCAAAATGTACTAGTAGAAAAAAAACAAATATTAATAATTTATTCTGAAATTTCACATTTCACGTTTTATTTCACTGACCACAATGGACAATATTTGTAATTTGAAATATCTCGTACACAATCACAGCAGGTGCAGAGTTTTCATGCCAGTTAAATAGTTATACTAACCCAATTTGCTGGGCCTGGAGGCAAGCTACTCTGAGAGGTCTTTGTTATACTTAGTCATAGGCTGTTTCGTAACAGCAAAGTGAACACTGCATAAAAGAAGAGAACTAGATCTGCAAGATTGCTAATATATAAATTGTATAAACCATGTTGCAAACTACAAGATGACTTACACAATGTAGAATATCAATGTTTATTTCATTTTACTCACATTTCATCACTTTCATTTCTTTGTTTCAAAACTGCAACCCTACCACTAAAGTAATAACTCATTTTCAAATATCAAAGTAGCTGTACATGTTTTACCAATTGCTGGTAATTATTTCTGAAACATGCTGAGAATCATTGATGGAAGTGCTTTCAGTTTTCTGTCAAAAACATGGTCAATTAATTTCCCACATATTTTTACTACTTTCTCACTCAGTTCATTTCTGCTGCATTTATTTCAATTTCTTAACATCAGATAACATACCTGATTAAGGTGTGTCTCTGCCAAACTACTCAGCAATTAGAATTACCCATTGATATTTTTTGCGCTGATGGGACTGTTCTTGTAGCTCCTGGATTTGAAGAGTCAATACATGAAAATTTAATTATTACTTATGGAAGAGATGTGGATCATGTACAGAGTTGCAAAAAACATCAGCAATGACTGCATACTTTCTTTTACACTGATATTCTATTGGCTTCACGCAGAAAACCAAATCCAACTTCCTTAAATACCTTTCTTTATTGGCTCTGTTATTGCTATTCAGTGCTTTTCCTGTAGTTAATAAGATTTTTCCTACAAATGTACATTTATGCCGATAGGTTTACACATTAAAGAATAATATTCAATCTATTTCCACATATTCTATTTAATATGTAGTTCATACCATCAGTCTTTATGAAAAGACAGATTAAGAATCATCAAAATAAAGCCAACTTTTCTCACATCTTCCAATTATGTATCTGTCGTGTTCCATTCATGTAAATGATATAGTAACAAATTAGAGCACTAATTCTTAAAAAAATATCAACCATAATTAAAACTATATATGTATTAATTAGTCCATAAAATGTATTATATTCTGTTTTCCTGAGATAAGATTTATTTTGAACTGACATTCGCAAAAACGTGATTGCCATGAGACCGATTTAATGACAGGGCACTGAAAATCCTAATGAAAATCACAAAACATTCAATACAATTAGGATAACAGAAAACTTACTCACACATTCTTTGAACTAAAAGTCAAAGAAATCAACAATATTAAGTTACATTTTATTTAGAACTTCAGAAAACTGTAGGGAAAACATGAGTTCATATATATCAAAGTTTACATAAGTTTTATTAATAGATCTTAACATGACTAGTGGCATTAACTTTGGTAAGTAAGAACAGACTTAAATTCATTTCAAAATATGAAGGAGAAACAAAAAAGAAGAAAAGAAATTAAAAGAAAGGTAATGCCCATTACTGTCCACTCAAGCTAACTACTCTGTGGGGTAATAAATTCAACAAACTGCAAGTGAAAGCTCATTTTAAATACAATGTTCAAACGTAGAGATAAATATACATTAAAATATTTAAAAATCTGCATCTGTCAACAACACATCAAAGTAAATATCACTAGAGCTGGCTTTGAGACAACAGAAATAAACTGAACTTACGGATGGCACAAGCTCTCTACTTAATCTTTGTACATCATGCAATGGGCATCACCATCCAGTGACGATCAGTAATTGAAAAGTTAAAGAGAAAATGAAATGGAAAATTATCAATCTGTATCAATACATCAGAAAAGCTTTAAGAATTTTATAAGGGAGTTGAAAAGGTAATGATTAATTATTTATTCACATAATTATCCACGATTCGATAGCACACTAGCATATTTCATTTAATTTGTCATGAAATGTGATGTACACCCTTTAAAAAAAGTGCAGAAGGCGGCATTCAAATCCTCTGGATAATAGTTCATTCTTTCTCTTCATGAGATATAGCAATAATAACATTTATATAATCAACAACAATGGCAAGATGATCACACTTGTGAAAACAGTCCCATGAGTGAATACTGTACAATTATGTAACATTACACACTTACAGGTGACGAGGGCAGTACACAATGAGATGAAAAGAAGAAATGCTTGTAACACTTTCTTGATTATTTCTTTAAGAAGTAACAGATGTGAAATATGTGCACATGTCTGTTCCTATGAGACCACAATTGGAAATTACTGCTTTAGCATCTCTACTCACTTGAAGATTGGGTATATGTAATATACATTCATACTTGACAATTTTCTTAGTACAATCCAAAATGAGGCAAAGTGATGGGGAGTTGACACAATTAAATACTCACTGCAAACTTCTGAAAGCATCAGTTAATGATATTAGAGAGAATCACAAAAACAAAAAGAAGCCATCAGTTCTCACTGGGATAAAATAGAGGCAGATAAAGCTGGTGAAACACACAGCCATAAATTCACGATATGCAACAAAGAACCATTCTCCTTAAACTGGGATCAGGTAATACAAAGTTAATAAGCAAAAGTACAAAATATTTTGTTTTGATGGACTGTTGTTACAGAAGGGAAACTGTTATGCAAGGAATTAAATTCTTCCAGGTGAAACAGGATCACATCATAATGATACACTCTGGAAGCAATTAATAATATTACCCTACCATAAATGAAAAAATGTTTACAGTCAGTTTTCAAAGTACAATGAAACACATTCCTTTGCCCACTGTGTGCACCAAATGTTTTTGTCAGTTCTGCCCATTTAGTATGCACAAGCACACACAGGCACTGACCATAACCCCTTTGCAGACATTTACTGCAAACACTATCATACAAGCATTCACACAATATGAACTGTTGCAACCATAATACACATTCAGTTATGTCCAAGAGATTCTACTGTTGCGGCTACACAAGCTAAGATGCACAACAGAATGGTTTTGTATATGTACATGGATATAAAAATTGGAGAAATCTCACAGAAACATACAAATTTTGGATAAAGGAGAACACGTGTTTCAACTAAAGAGAAGCAAGAATGGGGCATGGCACGCTTTTAGCCTGCAGCATGTTCTAATGCATGCCATGAGCAGGCTGCAGGAGAGCAGGGTAATGGCTCTTGCCTTAGGGTTGCACAATATTATACATGTAATTACTTTTCTTTAACTTTACATATGAGGAACCCCTTAGAATGAAAATGTGATTAGGGCAACTTGCCCCACTTTAGTTTGTAACACATTTGTACAAGAAAATGAGTAAGTACAACTTTATAGAAGAGAGATACCACTGGTTTACCTTCTTTCTATGAACATGTGTGTTTTGTGTTTCTTATACAGTAATGAATGTAGGTATGTATATGTGTATGTATAAATGCTTTTACGCATACATGTAGGAAAATACATGTATGTGAGTGTATATATATTTATATATTCATATGCATGTCTGTTTAGCAGGAAACACACATGAGAATTCATTTTGTAATATATTTACTTTTTATTGATCATAGTTAAGTTATTTTCATGTTCATTTCTTTAAAACATCAGGTTAATTTGTAAGGCAATGGAAACATAGTGGTAAGAGGCATTCTCTTCTGCATTCATCCAACTGCCACAGAAGGCAAAAGAACCTCTGTCTCTCCCAGCCTGTTGTGCTTAATAACTCCACTTGCCACATCAGGTAGTCACACTGTGCAGCATCAGAAAGTGGGGAGCGCAGTTCCACACAGGCATGGCTGTTGTTCTTGTTGTGGTTGTAAACAATATCAGCTGCTGAAGTTGCTGTATTTGCCATCGCACTTACAACATCATTTTTTCCCCCAGAAGATAGGTTACAACCCTATCTGAATAGTAAGCACAGAATGTTTTAACAGGTGCAATACATTTTTTCACTGAAATGTGCACTGAAAGCATCTGAACATCATGCTCCAACTTTTATCTACATAAGCAAGTTATACTGATTTACAATCTAGTAGGAAATAAGAGAAAAAGAAGAGTATTTACAATTTACTAAACAGAAACCGAACACTGCAAACTACCTTCTTATACACATTACTTCATATTCATTGTTACCACCAATAAAATACAAACATTTTGAATGTTGTAGAGTGAGGTTAGAGGAAGAGATGGCATTCCTTGATCCAGCCCCCCACAGACTCTGTCTGGAGACCGGGAGGAAGAACAAGATTTAAGTCAAACTGTGCTCCGCTCAAGTACAATATGAAATTCTCTTTCACGGTTGTTTAATAAGTTACAAACAAAATCAATAAAAATTGAAAGCTTTAAAGACGGAAAAACTGAGGTCCAGGTCTGCAAGTGCCAGCCCGCATGGGGGACTGGCTCCACGAGGTGCGCTTCCCCCAGCGCACGCCGCTGGCGCACAGCAGCACTTTGCCATGCCAGCATGCTGTGCAAGACTGTGCGCCTAGCTGGGCCACGTTCCCATTGCCACGACGCAGCCTGCTGCGTACGCCAGTGTTTGCAGGGGCGGGGAGGCCTAGCTCTGGTGGGGAACATTCAGGGGGCAGGGGATGGGGTGAACGCACCCAGGGGCCAGTCTCTGCCTGCCACCTAGAACAGAGAAGAAATACACAGACTTTTTCAAAAAAAAAGCTTACATTAGAAATAAACAAGTTTTGTTCCTTGAATTTTATTTTTTAAATAGTGCTATGAAATAAATTTGGTTAACTTTTTGAAATTTGGGATGAATTTATATATGTCATAAAAAAAGGAAACAAGTCCATAATTATATTAGCGTGCACTCTTCACCTGTTATGTATGCTATGATATTATAAACCTCTGTGGAATAGTTGGGAGATTTATAAACTGGCAAAAAAAGCAATCTGTAATGGAATGTAAAATTTGGGATAAGTTTATAAAGGTTTTTCAAACAGAAACATATATCTCAACATTATTTGAATGTGCCATTGTGATCTATTATATGTGTTAAATAAATGGCAAAATGGTTGTTTGTACATCTGCTATGAGGTTAAGATTTTACTGAATGGTAAACACAGCAGTCTGTAATGAAATTTCCATTTGATGTAAAACTTATGTTCTTCAAAAAGTAGTATTTCTAAGAAATGAAAAGTACCAGAACTTGTAGAACTGAAGAATTTCAACAAGGGGGCCAAAATTTGCTTGTTTTAGAGTCTAAAAATTTCTGTGTTTTGAGAAAGTTGGGGTGCTAACTTTACCATCATCTAGTAGCCCCATATTCAAAATCTGTTACACACATGACTACTATTAACGAAGTTTACCTTTAATTTGAAACTGAAGGTGCTAGCTTAACAAGTATCTTTCAAACCAAACAAAGAATGGTCAATTCACTCGTATTACATTCCTTTTATAACAGACAAACATGATTTAATATCTTCGTGGTTTCAAATGAGATCTTGAGTGAATCATATTATAGTAGTGGTCATGGTCGTAGTCATAGCGATGGTCATAGTTGTCGTCGCAGTAGTAGTAGTAGTAGTAATAATAATAATATAATATATAATAATAATAATAAATAAAATAATAATAATACTAATACTAATATAATATATTTGCTCATATTCTCAATATTCATTCTCTAACAGTTTTAATTTTTTAATACAATTGTAGTATTCACAATTATTTACATTTTATATAGTTAATAGATATGACAATGTAAGCCTAAATTACTTATCCCAAGTAAATAAAATAACTTATCCCAAAGTCAAGAACACGTAAATATTGTAACATTGCTCTCTCTACCTATCTTAATTCCTTTTATCTGTCACATGCATCTTGAACACCCTGTTAACATGCAACCCCACAGGTTTGCTTCTAAGAAGTTGCAGCAACTTGCTGAATGACACTGCACAAGGCAGATTATAAATCCTGAAGACATTGGACTCTTTTGTTTAGTGCATCAACATGAGTTTCTTTACCATGCTTTCTTACACATGAAGAAAAATTAAAAAAAGGAATCTGGGGCTGTTTTAAGAAAAAAAATTGATATTTCATGTTTCAGGCAAAATTAAGTAAAAAATAATAATTTAGGAAAAATTGAACAGGATCATATATAAAGACTAGATTTCAATAAGGGCATTTTTTCTATCTTCATTATTGTAGCTGTAAGAAAATGCTGAAAAATTTTAAACTTTTCCAATTTTCAAAACATCAGGATTTCACAGAAAATGAGACCTTGTCTATTCCACATACGTAGGATACAACTCCACGTCCCAGGACAAAATTAAATTACCAAATGTGGACAAATATTTTTTAAAAATTTTGAAAATATCCTATGGGCTTCATATAAAAAATACCCACAAAATTAAAATATCAGTTTCAAATTTAAAAGGGGCTGTGACAAAAGCCAGATCGTTTAGGGAATATAAATTTTGGACAGACACATTTCTGTATATCCACAATAAAGATTCAGGCTACATAACATTTTAGAGGAATAAATTCACTACATACGGTATGGGGACAAGTTTCATCCACTTTAAGACTGACAATAGTTTTTCTGTCGAAAATTCACAGTTTACTCCCTGCAGCTTTACAATACTTTCTCTATACTACATGAGCAGTAGCGAGAAAGTAAATATTGAGAAAAAATTTCCAGCTTCTTAAACATTTTCTTCAAAATTAGCACAAAAAAGAAAAATTCCCTATCTGTATGAACACCTGTTGCACTCAACAAACATGCATAATACCAATATATTTTTCACAAACAACTTTGCATTGTCTCTGTCAGCACAACTGAAATGAAAAAAGGTTGCTCTAAGGAACATGAAGTCAATGGTTCATACTTCGGAGATGCCACTGCTCAGTCTTCTAAGAAAAGGAATATCTGGAATATTATCTTTGTGTTACACTAGTTGGAATAAATTTTCTAGAGCTTCAATGAGATCACAACACCTACAGTTCCTGATTCTTACTTCTATGAAAAAGCTTAAATGATGTACATCACTTGGTGTAATAGAAGATATACAACTTCTAATTTTGGTAGGAATTAGTAGCAAGGAAGTCAGCAATGGTAGATATTTAGTCCACGCAATCGTAAAATTCCTATCAACCCAAACGAAGAAGGTTTTTTTGACTACAATTTGATTTATTTTTTATTATCACTCGCATTTAGCATGTTTTCAGGCCTTTTAACTCATTGTGGCCATTTTCAGTATTAATACGATTCTTATTTTTGGTTCAGAAACATTTGAAACAGATATGTATTGGTATATTAATGATGTTAAACAAGGAATAAAATAAGTTAAAAACCAATATCCTCACCCTAACAATATCATTAAAGGATTCATTCATAACTTACCATGCACCACGCCACTGCACAGAACAGGCTCACGAATGGGCATTAGTATTGGTATTTCCATGGGCATGAGAAGCCTGATTGCCTGGCTGTGATTCTGAGGTGGGTGTAGGTGGAGCATCTTTCCTTGGGGGCATTCGTTCATTAATAGCATCCAGGCCTTTGGCTTCAGCAAATGATGTTATTTTATGATTGGGTGAGAAGCCTTGTAATGCTAAAACAAAAAAGTCAATACATTACATTAGAAAAAAGTATATGCAGTCAGAAAGAGGTTGACAAATTACAAGATTTTCATGTTTAATAAGCGAAATAAAATGTATCATAACATCTCATTCATTACTAATTACATTACACACTATCCTCAAATTGTGAGACACCTTGCAATGAATTTGAAGGCCCAATTGAAGACATGGGTGCAATACCCTTTTTAACGGTGTTATTGCCAAGGTGCATACATCTTTGTTATGAAACCTTTGACTATTGACTCAATAATTATTGGTTCGTTATATTGCTACTAATGACAGGAGATAACAAGATGTAAGCTTGCGTGCAATGCGGTTCTTGTATCTATGTTTCTTTGCATTTTTGAAGGTGCTAGATTAGAGAAGATGACATGTAGTCATTATGTTTCTTCTTCAGATGAAGACTTTTAGAAAGCATGGTGTGCTATTGAAGAGAATAGAAAATATAGAAGTTTCAAGTGAATATGTGAATATTATGCAAGAGTGTAGATTGTCACCCCTATCACCCTTACCATTCAATGTTGTTTCCCTTTATAAGATTGGTCAAATGCCCTTTTCCCAATGTTTTTAAAGCACCAAGCGATAAAGGTTACACAGTTTGTATACAGAAATATTGTCATGTTAGCATGTGTGTTACTTTATTTTTTTTAATGCTCATATTTTCCTTCAAATAACATAAAATTGACCCAATTTCACATCATTATGCTAAACTTTTGTACTTATTAAGTGTTAAAGCATTTACAATGATACAAGCATGTCATAAAAAGGTTCTATTATATATACATAGGTTCGAGCCTATGTATGTGTGTTGTTGGTGTGTGTGTGGTGTGCGAGCGAGCCAGCGTGTGTGTGGTGTGTGTGTGTGTGTTGTGTGTGTGCGAGCGACCAGCGTGTGTGTGTGTGTGTGTGTGTTGTGTGTGTGTGTGTGTGTGTGTGCGTGCTGAGCGAGCCAGCGTGTGTGTGTGTGTGTGTGTGTGTGTGTGTTGTGTGGTTGTGCGAGCGACGCCAGCTGTGTGTGTGTGTGTGTGGTGTGGTGTGTGTGTGCGCGAGCGAGCAGCGTGTGTGTGTGTGTGTGTGTGCGATGGAGCCAGCGTTGTGTGTGTGTGTGTGTAACGCTGGGGTGTGTTTGGGTGTGAACGAGCCAGCGTGTAGTGTTGTGTGTGTGTGTGAACGAGCCAGCGTGTGTGTGTGTGTGTGTGTGACGAGCCAGCGTGTGTTGTGTGTGTGTCCCGTGTGTGATGGTGGGACGAGCCAGCGGTGGTGTGTGTATGACAGCCAGCGTGTGTGTGATTGAGTGTAGTGAACGAAGCCAGCGTGTGTGTGTTGTGAACGAGCCAGCGTGTGTGTTGTGTGGTAAACGAGCCGCTTGTGTGTGTGTGGTGTGAACGAGCCAGCGCGGCGCGCGCGTGTGTGTGTAACGAGCCAGCGCGCGGCGCGCGCGTGTGTCGGTAACGAGCAGCCGCGCGCGCGCGGGTGTGTGAAACGAGCCAGCGCGCCGCGCGTGTGTGTGTGAAAACGAGCCGCGGCCCGCGCGCGCCGCGTGTGTGTGTGGGAAACGAGCCACGTCGTAACAGCCAGCGTGTTGGGTGTGTGTGTAGCGAGCCACCGTGTGTTGTGTGTGTGTGAAACGGAGCCAGCGTGATGTGTGTGTGTCGTTGAACGAGCCAGCGTGTGTGTGTGTGTGTGTGAACGAGCCAGCGTGTGTGTGTTGTGTGTGTGTGAACGCAGCCAGCGTGTTGTGGGTGTGTGTGAAACGAGCCAGCGTGTTGTGTGTGTGTTATGATGTCGTGAACGAGCCAAGCGTGTGTGTGTGTGTGTGCTGTGTGAACAAGCCAGCGTGTGTGTGTGTGTGTGTTGTTAACGCAGCCAGCGGGTGTGTGTGTGTGTGTGAACGAGCCAGCGTGTGTGTGTTTGTCACGAGCCAGTGTATGTGTGTGTGTGTGTGTAACGAAGCCAGTGTATGTGTGTTGTTGTGAACGGCCAGTGTAGTGTGTGTGGTGGAACCGAGCCAGTGTATGTGTGTTGTGTGTGTAACGAGCCAGTTATGTGTGTGTGTGTGTGTGTGTGTGTGTGAACGAGCAGTGTATGTTGTTGTGAACGAGCAGTGTATCGTGTGTGTGTGAACGAGCCAGTGTGTGTGTGTGTGAAAACGAGCCAGTGTGTGTGTGTGTGTGAAAACGAGCCAGTGTGTGTGTGTGTGTGTGTGTGTGTGTGTGTGTGTGAGAACGAGCCAGTGTGTATGTGCTGGCCAGCAAGTAATTTGTAGAACAGCACAAAGGAAAGTTCCAAGGCAAATAATAATATTTGCTCATCTTTATTGAGATGCGAACCATGATGGCTGAAAACTTATGCATAACTGAAATGGGTTTTAAAACAATGATAACATAAAAAGAATTTTGAACACAATAAATGTTTTCTTATTGTTGTAAATTTAGTTTGAGCGGGACATCCTAAATATGATGGCATTAAAAGAATAACATTAACAGTGATTACAATAAGTGGTATCTATTGTATTTTGTTACCATAAATAAAATTCTCACATACTTTAATAACATAAAAAAGGTTTGTTTATGCTCTTTAAACTTGTAAATTCATGGAATATAAAATAATATATTTTTGAATAACTTTAGCACATACCATTCTTGAGTGAAGTCTTGCCTCCAGAGAGAGCACCAAGAGGTAGAGATCCAGTTGGAGTAAGTCCCTTGAGTTGCAATACACTTTCACTTTCCTCTCTGAAAAAAATAAAGAAATTTATATTTAAGTTTTTTTGTAAAGGAAGTTAATGTACACCGTAAAAATGAGATGTACGTTTGTTTATCCAAAAAATCATTGGACTATTTCCTACAAATTTGGCCAAAGAATGATGAGAATGAAAAATAACAAAGTTGACATTCCAAATGTGGTGAAGAGTGATTGAGTGTATGATTGCATGAGATAGGTGTGTGTGAGACGTCACGAGAGAGCGTGCGTGACGAGAGCGTGTGGTTAAAAACGAAGAAATAATCAACTGAATGTACGATATCATTATAGACGAAATGGACACTCGATGTCTGAAATGGTTTGGTCATGTGGAAAGGCCTGATTATGGATTATGGCCAAGAACAGTCTGCGTGAGGTGTGTGTATAAGGGTGCGCGCGAGATCATCCTTTAGAAAATACACCGTTTAGCTTATTTTCTGCAAAACTGATATTCCTCAATCGATCATGCCGATGTCGCGGCCCCTTGAATTTGAAACCGATATTTTAGTGGGGGCCACTTTACATGAAGCCCTTGGGCCTTTTCAAAAATGTAAAAAGAATGGCCAAACATATTTTGATTAAATTGTGTTTTTGGATAGTGTGAAAGTCGTTTAAGAGAATGGTGCAGGTTCATGTTTGTTAAAAACTCAAATTGGACAAGTTTAACATTTTTTCGGAGCCTTCCTACAACTAAAGTAATAAAGATAAGAGATGTTTTTGCTCAATGAAATGTGTTTCTTAGAGATTTTGAAAGGAGGTAGGTACCATTTTTCGAAAATTACAGTACTTTTTCGCGTAATTTTGCGTGAAAGTACGGGCGAGAAAAAACGGCTGTTTTCACACCACTAGTTTTCCTTCCTTTGATGCATTCGAGGAGAAAATTTAAAGAAAAAATTGGAGCTGATTTTGAGAAACGACAATGCATTAAAAATTAAAAACAGCCTATATTTCACGCAAAATTACCTGAAAACTATTTTCAAAAATTGCAAACGACCATATTTCGAAATCTATTTTTAGAGATTAGATTTTATTATCAGAAAATACTGATATTATCTTATTATATATTATATAGTATCTTCAACACTGCAGTTGTAGGAAGATGCGGAAAAACTGTAACTTTAGCAATTTTTGAAAAAACAGACATCGAAAAGTGTGTGTGTGTGTGTGTGTGTCTGCGTAAACTACGGTGTACACAGAAAGCGCAAATAGTTTAAGATAGAGAAATCTAAGCCTTCTTAACGTGGTCACCATCGCCAGGGGTTAAAATATAGGTGGGATTGATAATCTTGATAAGTGCCGAACCAGCATTTAATAGAATGTTCAAGAATATCTCATCCTATAGATTACGACAAAAGAAACGTTTCAATGAGGTCTTTGGCCTCAAACTTTAGTTTTTAATGCCCTAGAACGCTACGTTTATGAGTTATTTAGCGATATAGCTGAGTGCTGCAGGTTGCCTTTGACGTGAATATTTGGATGCGTTTTTTAAACAAATTCGTCATATTTTTTAAGTCAAAGTGCAATTTGTCACGTCTCCGTGTAATTGTATTTCTCTAGAGACCTCATTTCTAAAGATAGGTTGCGTGTGACAACCGCGAAAGTTATGTACACTACTGAAATAATATAGGAGACGATTTTTATCAACGGATTTTTGGCTGAGCGAGTGCTCACGTTACACTGCAACAATTTTATGATCATCAAACATATGCTACGTTAACCCAAATGTGGCCATTTTACGTTAAAACCATAGATATAGCCACTTTTCAAATGACCGTAGCTTCGAAAATGTTCATCAAAAATACTTTCAATTTAGATAAGATTGAAGAATAAAATTTCTACTTAAAATTTGCTTCGTACAATTTAACTATTTCAATACCATCTGCTAAAATTGCGCCGCGTGCTATCACTGATAATAACCCAAATTTGAGCTACTGTATCCGATTTCTTTATCCACTATTAGGCTGCACTGAAACATATTTCTAGAGAAATCAAACGGGTTATGACGTTACTAGACTTTAAAAAACACTAAATGATTTTTGGTAACCTATGAGATATTTCCCCCCCCCCCCTCTTTCTTTCGGTGCGTGCAAAGGTGCCCCTATCATCGAGCCAGTCGGCCTGCGTCGCCCACTCATTAATATATTCTGAAAAGCCCTCCTTTGTGTGACAGGTCAGGTACGCCACGCTCAAGTCAATGCAGAGCTGTCAAATGACGTGGAACCGGCAAACAAGCGCCGGTACGCCGACTGGCGCAATAGCTTCAGCATCTGAGCGAGTTCAAACGGGGCAGAACGATCGGTCTCTGGGATGCGGGTTTGTCGTTCCGTGACAATGTGGCTCGAACGGGGCGCGCTGCTACGACAGTGATGCATCTGTAGAACCAGTGGATCGTACACGGTGACGAGCGGGTACTGGACCACAGTGTGAGATAGCCGCCATCTTGTCCACATGGCCATAACCGACAGAACGGCGCCATCCACAGCGTTGACTCGACTCTGGAGCACTGCAATGGGTGTGGTCATGTCTGCGTTGACGGCTCGACGCCGTCTTCTGAGGGCTGGACTGATGGCACGCGTATCACTGCGACGGAATCCGTTGACCAGAAACCAACAACGCCTCAGACAGCAATGGGCACGTGAACGTGTTCACTTTTATGTGTTGAGAGGCAAAATGCTGTGTTTTCAGAGGGGACCCGTTTAAATTTGGGCTACAGCAATGACAGCGTACGTGTTCGACGCTACCATGGTGATCTCAGTCAGCCAACTTGTATTGTACCGTGCCATAGCGGACAAACGCCAAGTTAGACGGTTTGGGGCGCCATTGACTACAATATGCGATCTCGCCTCATACGTACTGAGGATCTGAACAGAAATCAATACGTAAGGGAGGTTTTAGAGTTCGAGGTCCTGCCCCACCTGCAAGCAGCTCCACATGCCATATTTCAGCAGGACAGTGTCCAACCGTATGTGGAGAGACATGTGCAAGCTTTCTGCGAAGAACGACGGGTACCACTACTTTGCTGGCCTGCACGTTCGCCTGACAAGTCGTCCTCGAACTTGTGTGGGATAGGATCGGTCGGCAACTTATTCGTTCCGGTCCTCCTGTAGCCACTGATGCTTTGTAGTCACGCATAGAAACAGCGTGGCAGTGTGTTCCCCACCATCATATCCAGGATCTCTCTGAATCCATGCTAAGATGTCTAGAAGCTCTGTTGGCAGCGTATGGCCTGTTCACACCGAACTAAATATTAAAGGTAAAAAGCATGTACAGTTATGTGATTCTTGTCGTTTGTATATTGTGATATTCCTAATCTGTGGAATAAATTTCATTGTAATAGTACGTCTCCTTGGTGTTGCCATTTTCACAAACAGTTGCGTGTGTGTGTATATATCACTATATATACATACATATAGTGATGTATCACACATCTAAAATAAAGAGGATTCAAAGAGACTGCAATGATTAGAAGTATGCTGGGTCCCCAAGTGTGTGAAGCGAGGGTTAAGGGACAAAAGACGCTCCTCGAGCGAGTCCGCGGCGAATGGAGCGGGGGACGACGACGACGACGACGACGACGACGACGACACGCAGCTCTGGGCAAGTGGGTATCCGCACGTTACCTTGGGCCCGAAATACCTACCCGCCCCTCCTTTCCCAACATTAGTTGCATTAAGAATAAATGATAACAATTGTAGAGAAAATCTGGTGACGAGGAATGTTCGCTCCAGTGTATTAAAAACTATTTTGCATGGAAACATGAACCACA